TATTTTGAAGCAGCTGGGAGGATTGTCACACACGGAAGCCAGCACCAGGAGAAACACACCTCAGTCTGAATACACTGATGTGATCCTTGGAGCCAGAGGAAGTGCTGCTCCACATCCGTGGCAGTGTAACCCAAGCAGGTGGATCTGTTGGCTCCATGGATTTAGGAGGTCAGGCTGAAGAGCCCTGCAGATCGATGAAAACCTCTGATTAAACCAACACTCTTGTGCTTGAAATACAGTGAATGCCAACCTTAGGGCTAATAATTTTGATATTAGTGCAGTATCCTCTGTCTTACATACATATGGATGAACATTTACAAAAAAATAAACTTGGACTTAGTTTGTGAACCAGTCCTGACTTCTCCTCATCTGGAGAAGGGACTTTCCCTACCACAAAACAGCAGTGAGCATGAAGGCTGCCCTCCATCTGATCTGGCTTGGATTGATCCCTGCCACATTACACAGCCAGGTCCAACATCTTGGTGGCAATTTCATTCCTTACCAAAGATAGGCTCTCCCTACATTTTTTAAAATGAGAAGATTTGGGGATGCTTGTCTGTGCTTAAGGAGTCTAGAAGACAGGCTCATGGTTTCTCATTTTGATGGCAGATTTCTTCTAACTATGGTAAGTAGCTCTCTCATGTCCTTTGTTGTGGTTTTCCTCAAATGATTTATAACTGAAACTCCCATAAACCGTGACATTTATGTGAAGGTGTGAAAAGATCAGATGGGTATGCAGGTCATGCTGGCAGGGGATGCCAGGGGAAGAAAACAAACATCGTGCTGTAGAGAAGCACCACAAAATGCGTATTTAAAAAGACCCAAGTATTTCAGAAAACAAAACCATTCTTTATAAACAAAAAGCATGTTCTGATTTTCTTTCTTTAAAAAAGTCTGTCCAAGCCATATTCATCATCAAACTTCTCTGGTGAGGCCAGCAGTACCTAAATAGGCTCTGAAAAAATGCACAGATAATAATACAGAATACAAATACAGTGAAGAACAGCAGGCATTTTACTTTTTACTTCAGCTGTCCTAATAGACATAGGTGTTTCACTCAGTGCAAACTAATGACCACACAAATCCTGCCACCTAAAAGCAACAACAATTAGATTACAAGCATTTTGAAGTCTTTTCCTCTCTCTCTTCCTTTCTTCTACTTCAATATAACTGATATGGAGATGGAGGAGAGAAGCTGATGCTTCTGAAGACTTACACAAACATTTCTCAAAGATTTTCACACACAGCAAAATGCCAAAATGTGAAAAAGATTTTTCTTTCTTCTTAAGCAACTGTAAAGTGTAGACTTTGCATCCCACAGAAATAAAAAACCGAGGAAACCGCATTGTAGTGACTGCAATGCTGACAAGGTTAATGGCACTTGACAACTGCCTTCCTTTTTCTTCTTCTTCTTCTTTTTTTTTTTTTTTTTTTTTTTTTTTTTTTAATTTATGCTGAAACTTAGAGATATACAAAAGGCAACAACTGGTAATTTCTGCCTTTGGACCCCCTAACCTTGCTAGCAGTGCTGTGGCACTCACAACAAGGAAGAGTCCTCCCATCCCCACATAACAAGGCACATACCAGTGCAGAGCAGCTAAAGGAAAAGAGACACCATTCCCCATTATGGGTTTGTAATGTCAGTGCTTGACACAAACTCCACTCAGTGAGTAAAGTTCTGAAGCTATCAATGTATTGCTTCAGCATTTTAAGACAAAATAGGTCAGAATTCTACTTCATAGTCAGTTTTAATACACCTTGGCTGTTTTCCAGGTAAAAGAACCCCAAATCCTTAGCTATGAAATTCCATTCTCAAAGAAGGGGAGAAGTATGAGAAAAAAGAAAGGCAAAGCATTTCTCAGTCAAGCAAATATATGTATCTTTTTTTTTTCTTTCTATTTGTAAGAAAGTGTGGATAGAAAAAACATATTAGCTAGTAAACTTACAATAAAGCTTACCACAGGAAAATTATGAGGAGTGAATATGGACACCACCTGCTGCATGAGTATTGTGAGATCTGTGCAAGATTTCAGATTTTCACTGGAACAAGGAGCACCCTGGCTGGGCTGGTGGCCAGGCTCCAGGCAGAGGGGATTGGAGTCCTCAGATGAAGAACACTGAACTTTGATCACAGCGACTGAGAACTCATTTATTCAGAAAATTAAACAGCTCAAGCTTTTATGAGTTATGTCCGGTATCACAAAGCTGCCAGATGGGCTAGACTGTGGGAAATTAAAATAAAAGGCATTTAGAAAGAAGGTCTGCTGGGATGTTCCCCCATCGCAACTTCTTCACAACTTAGTAAACATGTGCAATTCATTGTTCATCATACTGGAATTAATCTTCTCCAGACTTTGAAAGTTATTGTCCTGAAGCACAATTCTGAAACACAAGGAGTTGATCTTGGCCCAGGATACTTACCCTTAGGTTCCTTTATACTTTGTCCTGTGGTACCACCTGGAGGCTGGAGTCTCAGTGCTGTATCTGCAATGCATGTATGGTGCCAGAGGTCTTGAGGACAATACAAAGATTAAAAAAAACCTTCAGAGAAAGCATAGGTAGGGACTGCAAGGCGCTAATCAATGAGCAAGGCAATAACTGGAGAAAGCAACATCTGGAGCACTCCCATGAAGACATACCCTAATTCTGTCCAGCTGTGGGCTGCTGGTGGGCTGGGCATTACACTTGGATGTGGGTGCAAGTACTGCAGCAACTCAGACAGCAGGGCCAGTGGTAATGGGAATTCTACATGGCAGAACCAAAAGTATTCAGACTTTAAAGAAAAATTCTATAAACCAAGTGCATCTTTACCAAGTTCTGATAATTTTTGCAAACCTAAATAAGCTCTTTGTGTATAAAAATATATTTTTTAAACATTTTGATGTTATTTCAATCATATTTTTAGAAGGGTTTTTGAGGACAGGCTCTTACTTATGTACACTTTCTGCCATGTGTTCCAGGCTACTTGTGGATAAAAATATGAGTATTGCACAGAGGTATTTATTATCCAGCAAGCTATAAAACATCTTTGACTATCTGCCTTTGAGTATCCATGTGCTTCATATTTTCTCTCGTTTTAAAGAGAAATTTAATGCTGATCTGAAACTGCTACTATATTCTCCCTGTCCCCTGCATTCAATTAGAAAAGCAGGTAGATGAAGATATTGTGACAACTATTCTTTCTCTCAAAACTATGCAGCAATTTATATTCCAAAAGGCTGACACGATAATTTAGAGCTTTTCTGGGTGCTTCTTTGTACTAGTTAAAAATTCAGAACTATCTCATCTCACTGCAGTCCCTGAAACCCACAGTGAAAGGCAAAGCTGAGAAAATTTTCTCAGCTCAAAGCTCTATAACTGCACGTGACAATTTAAGCAGCAGAGCTTGGATAGTGCTTACAGGATTTTTCGTGTTGTCACCACAAAAGACAGCAGAAGTGCTAAAGCAGTGGGATTTGAAGGATCAAATTCTTATCATTCATAGCAAGAGGAATGGCAGTGCCTTCCCTATGAAGTTGAAATGTCTTTAGCTCATCCTGCAGCTAAGCATCAGCTATGATTTTGCAACTTAGAAGCAAAGACAGGTTTGTACCAACTCTGCTGGCGAACCGGGTCGAACCATAGTCGAACCAGGTGCAAAAAGACATGCAGCACACTGTAGCACACTGTTACCATATCTCATGCATGCCTTGAGGTAAATACAACTTTTTGTATTCAGCAACATTATTGTCTCATTTTTGTGGTATATTGTTTTCTTACATTTAATTATGTAATGCTCTTCAATTGCATTTCAGTAGTGTGGGAGCAAATTCTTCTCTGATACGATCCTGCTGGTGTCAGCTGAGCTTTACTATTGGATTTCATCTGGCTCACTGTTTGAAAGAGCAAACCTGCTGAACTGATAAATGTACTATTATTAACCCCATTTTGACAGTTTTTGTGATTACAACAGTCTTAAAATTCTGTTCAAATTCAGAGAAGATGGATCCTGCCCAAAAGAATTTGTAGTTTAAAAGCCTCACGGTTCACCCCTTGCTACTTGTCTTCTGTTTCTAGAGTAACAACACATTTCACCTCTTGCAGAGTCCTCCTGATACCTCTGACACTTTTTTTCGTGGTTAAATATATTTCAAGCAGTGGGCAAACAAGTTGCCTGTGTGCACGTTTCAAGTTGCTATTTCTCCAATGACCTTCCTTCATGTTCTTTCATCTCTAAATTTAGCTAGCTACTGAAGTGAATCTAGTGACACAGGAAATACTAATGCAGACTGTATGTAATCACTCTTAAAAGAACAGCACAGATTATGAGACGGTGTAATTGCTATTCTGTAGCCAAATTAAGTTTATTTTATGAAACTGCACCTTTTCAAGTCTAATAAACCATTACAGACATTCAGTCCAGACCAACACATGCAGCACAAAATCAAAAGTATTATTCAAGGGCTGACACTCAGAACATGGAAATCTTTTAAGGATTGTTGTGTCCATATTTGAACAGATGACATTGTCACTGCCAGGCACAAGTGTCCCACAGATATTAAACCTGAAATTTAATCTTTGTCAATGCTGCTTCATTGTCCTCTAATGAGGAAAGCACATTGTAGAATAAAGGGAACCATTTAAGAATGTGCAATGAACTATTGAGGTTCAGAAAGGTACTGTACAGATACTGAGATGGGAATTGAGATGAGATGATGAGATCATAACAAGTTTACTGAAGCAGCAGAAAGGTTATACCACTTTAAATATTGTACAGCATTATCAGATACAATAAATATGGCAAAATAGTAAATGTTCTGCGCCACTTGAGTAAGATGAGTAATGAACAATTTGATTCCCTGTATGAAATACATAAAATCGGATTAAAATATTAATAATATATCTGCTTATATAGATAATGGAATAGTTTCTAATAACCTTTGTTTTGAGAAATCATACTTCAAAAATTCTAGTAAAAAAGCTTTTCCTTCTGTGAAAACAGCACAAGCACAACTCAGGAAAGCAGTTAATTCTTTCTTTAATAAAGTGGGCTAGATATTCTTCTGGGATAAAGACACAAAGTTCCACAACTAAGTGAATACCCAGTCAAAATACCATACTGCCTCTCTGCAGTATATATAACTGATATGACATGCAAAAGACTTCAAACAGCCATAAATTACAGATGTAAGATACAGTACAACAGTTTCAAATACATATCTTCATCCCATATTAGTTATTATCACAAGTTTTCAATGCATATCATTTTCTATCTTGTTACTGGTAACCATGAACATTATGAGTGGGTCTTTTCTGGGGAAAAAGAGTAATCTTGCATTTTATTTTTTATTTTATTTTATTTACGACTATTTATTTCTCAGTATATTCCTAGCATAAAGCAAGACAGGGTGATGGTTTGATATTCTGTCTAACTTACAGGCTCATCTGATTTAAAGAATATATAAAATTTTAACTGTCTCTGTACCATGATTAAGTATGTGACAGCAAATTTGTGACATGGAAGAACATGGTGTAACCAAAGCAGATTCGTTTACTGGAACTTGCTCTAATCTTACTTGCATAATCAACTCTCTGCTTCTAAGGATCTTATTATATCCCTTGGCATGACAGGCATCCAGCTCAGTGGTATCCACTGCTTAGAGAAAACTTGTTAGAAACTCCAAAAATCTGTATATACTTTCAGCGCTGCTTTAAAATATGCTGTATTGAAGATACAACTAACTTACAAAAATAAAAGGACTGTACAAATCACACTCTTCCAATGGCAATAAGACCGCTCAAGAAAACAGCAATGTGATCCCTGAAACAAACAACCAGAACAGAAATGAAAAGAATGATTCCTAAAATAATAAAAAAAAGTAAAAACATTTTCCCCTGCCAAAGTTCTAGAATCACTGAAGGCTTACGTATCACAGAATATAAAAATTGTCTCTCTGCCCCCAGAATATTTCTTTCCTCTTTCCACAAGTACTGGTTGAACAGATTCCCCTTTGTTGGTAGTGTGGCACAAGCCTTGCTGAATGGGTTAAGGCTAGAAGAGTTGTAAAGACTTAAAAAACCCAACAGGCACCTAATCCCCTGGCATTCACACAAAATCAGGGACATAAAATAAACCTGAAGGTAGGCATGTGTGTTTATTTCCAAAGTGATTTTCTATGAAGCTTAAAACTAAACCAAAATAAACACCTATCTGAAACGTTACTCGCTTAAGGTCTCTCATCTAAACAAAGCCATCTGACTGTTCACACCACTGCCACAGAGATGTGTGATACTATGTCTGCTCACAACATTCCAGTGTTTTAACATTTTACAAGGCACAGAGAATCTCAGAAGAACTACACAGCGGCTTCTGAATGTGTAAGGATATGGCAGCTCCCATGTAATTACATGACAGCTTTCTCTTAATGTCAGTCATTAACACAAACCATCTAAAACCAGCAAGCCATATCACCTCATCTTTGGGATATTGTACTTAACTCCACTGACAACCACAGACTAATCAGCAAATAACTACCATTTAAAAGACTATACCAACAGAAGCTTCACCATACAGCTACAATGCTCTTGCACAGTGTACTTGATAAGTATCTTGAAACAAAATAATTCAGATTTTGTACTGTTGTTAGAAATGGAGAAATTTTCTAGCACTACTTCCTCTGGCTATAACTGCACAGGTCCTTCATGAGCAGAAGGCTTCCTCTGACTAACAGTTTCTTTTTGCAAATTCCAGAAGAGTTTAAAGGAATCAGTGAGTACAAAGAACACCTATCTTACCTATTTGAAAAGAACAGTTATTAGATGCAGTATGTACTTGATGGCAAAGAAATACACTTTTCCATAGAAGAACAAGTTTTAGGGTTAATTAAAAAATTTCTGTTGGTTAATGCTGCTGCACCATTATGTATTTTTTTTTTTCTGACTAGTAATGTGGAAATCATATATGCATATATGTAAACAGAATATATAGAAGATAATAGCAAGGAGACATAGAAGATAATAGCAAGGAGACATAAAGTGCTTTTAATTATGAACATTTTATATCTACTTTGCACCCTTCCCTGTTAAATTACCATACTCAAAATAATTTTAGATCAACTGGCTCAGGTATACACTATGAAATAATGTAATTTCCCTACTCTTTGATGGTAGCGATCTCTGTAAAATCAAAATTAATTCATGCCAGGGGAGTAAAAGCACACAGATACTAAGAGGGAAAGAGGTGAGCTGAGAATTCTCAAGGGGAAAAATAGTAGGCAAAGGGAAGTAAGGCTCTGTTGTATAGGTCCCCCTTCTCAAGGAATTTGTAATACATTCACTTTAACACAGTGCTGAGGAACTATTACACAAACCAGTGCCTTTAACACACCTTAGGCTACTGTTGGATGAAAAGAAAGAAACTAGGATTCCTCAACTGAGAACAAGTGCCAGGATGATGCTTTTAATTTTTCTGATTTACATTCTCTACTTCTCTAGTCACAGACTCTGAAGAAACAGTATCCTTGCCTATTCAGAAAACCCAGTCTAGTATATTTTGCAGAAGGACGATATTAAACCTAGTTTGTCTTTGCCTCTTCAGGTCTGATGTCAAGTACCTATGCATTTCCTAATCCATTATGGTACTTAGCACATACTATTCTATGTTTCAAGAAAGCAACAGTTCTATAGTAACAAAGCTCCTAAGTAAGACAGATCTATAACTAAGAATAACTGTATATTAGAACCAGGTTTACTGGGTTTTTACTTAAGGCAGTCATCACAAGATGTGTATTCTTTTTGAAGAGTCGCAACAAAAAATGTATTTTTTTTGACCTAGGCTTTTGGCAGCTGGATGCGTTACCTTCACCTATTTTCTGTCCTTCTAATCCAAAGAACCGTCCAGCCTGTGGAACCACTGGAAGCCGAGCTGAGGTGTACCAGCTGGCCTTCTAATTTCTCCCAGTCAGTTTGGTTAGATGTCCAGTGGGCTTACAATAGCAAAGTCAGAATCTTTGCTGTTATTGCTACTGTTGTCATCAGGGCTGGAACTCAGGTTGCTGGAGGAGGCTGAGATGGAGCCCATCAGAGGGTCAGAGAATACCAAAGGACGAGATGGTGCTTCTGGCTTCACTGCTGATTCCTTGAATGTCTGAAGCAACTGTGCTGGCTCTGGGACAGCACTTCTGCTTCCTTCTTCTTTGGAAACCAAAATACAGTCATCAGCACCCTTACTCTCTCTAGTGCTTGAATCAGTGGTAGTCTGTAAGACAACAGCACAGAAAGAAGTCAGTACCCATTTTACTATTTGAAAGAGTTTTCTGACACACAACGGTGATTCAGGAATGGGATAGAGGAATTACCATTATTCAAAAGTTGCAACGCCCATATCAAAAAGTAAAAAAATCAACAATATGCATTATGGATTAAATTATTAATGACAACAGTACAAAAGCTCTAAAATCATCATCATCATATGATACAAAGTTCTTATATGTTTCCTTATCACAGTGCATCTGTGCCATGCTCACAGTAGCTGGGCATAATAGCTGGGCATAAATCACAGTTGTGAAGATTTTAGGCAATTCTATTCACACTGCTGTTATTTTTCTACTGAAGTTCATAAAGACAAACTGAGGAATTTTTTGCAGACCTGCATGTACAATGGTACCTTGCAGCTCTTCAAGAGAGAGGTTTGACAGAAAATTTCCTGATAAAATTCTGATCAGTGGAATCTGAGCTGTACATCATATTTTAGTGCGCAGCAGTTCAAGGCAGATTTGTACTCCCAGGTCTTCAAGGCTTGATGTTGTGGGCTGAAGAACTAAGCACTGTCTCACTTTACCAGAAAATCTGGATGTGGGAATCCCTAATCTATCTTGTTAGATGTCCCAAAGCATTGCAATAGTGGATGATGAATAACGTTGATGTACCAGAAAAATCTCTATGATCTCACAATGTTATATTCCAACTGGATGTATTCAGCTTTTCAAAAGACAATCTGCTCCATGAAATTAGAAGGGAAGTCTGCCATATACAGCACGGTGGGATTTCTCCCACGTTGACAAAACTGGCAACATATTAGCGTGGTTGCAAAGTAAATGGACAATAGCCTCTAGTTTCTTCTGCAAGAGTTGGATTCAACTCCTATCCAGCACTATATTCCTCCAATAGTTATATAATTGATTTCTTAGTTGCCAATGTATCAGCACCATAACACAACCTACCAAATGGCCTGAGTGGGACAAGTGTCCAGAAGTGGTGTGATATTGAAAACAGTACACTGACTTCAGTAATGCAAGATCAAGGGAAAGGAGAAGTATGGAAATGTGTGTGCCAAACGCTCTTTAATTATGACTGAATGTGAATTCACTTTAGGGTAAAATACAGGTAGCAGGTATTAGAGAAAAAATAAATCAATAACAAAAAAGACAGAAAAAATCGGAATGAGATAAAAGTAGGCACAGTACATAAAATTGGAGAACAGAGGTCGTCACAAGTATCACCAAGCCACAACTTGAATATTAGATTTTTATGGCCTCGAGCAAAACTTGCTTTCCAAATTTATTATTACAGCTGAAAACAATTTTGCATTGCTCTGATTAGTAATTATAGAGTAGAATATTCTTGAAAAGGATCTGTACAGTAGCTCAGAGAGCAAACACCCACCAATAATTGAGAAGGAATTAATTTCAAACTGTTAAAAGTCACAAATTTAGTATTAGCTGAAATACAAATGCATAATTATGACCTGTTTCCTTACAAAACTTGTATGAATGAGAGTTGAAATACACATTTCCCTTTGTAGCAAATAATCTGTTTTGTTATCTGGTTAGTATCTAGGTACAATTATGTCAATTACTATGTTTTGTAAATAACCATTTCAGTGCTTTATCATTCAAATGGAAATGTCTTAAGCTCAGCTTTAATGGTCTCAACATAAGACAGCTGCTAGACTGCGCAGAACCAGAGTAGTCAAAATGTGAATAAAAAACTTCCCAAATACATTCCACGAAATTAAAGAGATCTAGAAGGAGAGATACATCTTTACTTAGGCTCTTGTCATGTGAGACATCATTTGTTATTAATTAGCATTTACTCTCCTTTGGTCTGTGATGCTGTTGGTCAGCTGCCATCTCCAGAGCTGGGGCCACAGGCTACCCAGTGTTGCTGCTCTGCTCCAGTCTTGTGCTGACATTTACCTGATTTTGTAGGCAGCCACCACAGCCACAAGACAGGTCCAGGTGGAGCTGCTCTGGGAATCCTAAATACCATGTTAAAATTTTGCATTTTTGCCTCTCTACAAAAGAAATACACGTTCCTTTAAACAGCGACTCTTGCATAACTCACCTGGCTTCTTTCCACATTTCTATTTAATACCTCCCAGTCAATGCAGTATAGCCTCATTTTACAAAATTATATGCGTTATTATTCTAAGCTATCAAGTTATTTCAGTTCTCACAGCCCTCACATCAGGATGGCTCCATCTCGTGTAGGGTGACATGGACGTACTGGAAAGAATCCAGCAAATGGCCGCAAAGATAATGAAGGGGCTGCAGCATCCCTGCATAGTTGTGAGAGCTGCAACTGTTCAGCCTGAAGAAGACTCAGAGGGATCTCATCAATGTGTACAGAGACCAGCAGGAAGAGTACAAGAGGGCAGAGCCAAACTCTTTTCAGTGGTGTACAGTGCCAGGACAAGAGGCAATGGGCAAAATCTGGCACACATGAGGTTCTCTTTGAACATCAGGAAATGCTTCTTGACTAGGTGGGCACTGGCACAGGTTGCTCAGAGAGGCTGTGGGGTCTCCTTGGAGATCTTTAAAGCATTCCTGGACATGGGCCTGGCAGCCTGCTCTGAGTTGGAGCAGATGGGCCCAGAAGTCTCTGCCAATCTCAATCACTCTGTGATTCTGCCACAGGAATTATGACACAATTGCCCAGCAAGATCAATATTTTCTTTTCTCTGCTTGGCATCTCCAAGGTTGGCTAACAGGCTGTCTACCTTATGGCAGTGAACTCCAGCAAGGATGCCTGATTAGAAGCACTTTGTGCTGGTGCTGTAAATTCACAAGTTCTGCTTAAAAAAAAATTGGTTTTGCATAGCATAATTTTGCAAAGCATCCTGTTCCCTAATGAAGGGAAAAGAAAGAGAACCACTTATTCTAAATTCTTTTTGTCAGTGTTGGGCTTTGCAACACTATTTTTCATTCTAACAATACTTCCTGTTTGAGTTAAAGAGATCAACAGATCCCTGAAGTATCAGACGAGCAGCAGACTACATATATTGACTCAAAAATGATATAAAAAGGACCTCCTGTAAACGTCTGCTTACCCCTACATCACAGTGGTATTTTGGTACTTTTTCCAGAGGTAAAATACCTCCTCCCTCCTTGTTCTGCCTATTTCAGGAAACTCATGCTGACGTGAACCATGTTTTCTCCCATCTGCTGCCGCTACTGAATAAATGAAAAATGACAGAATTATACTTCCGGTAGCTTTGAAAGTTAACAACCTTACGCCCATTGCCATATGGCTTCTCCAAACATTTTTTCCTGATGAATATCAGCTCCTAGCACTGGGCTTATTTCAATCTCCTTCATACTGTGAATGAGTTAAAACTAACCATAAGAACACAATTCAAGAAAGCTGAGAAGAACGGCAGCTCATTTCGCCTCCTTCTCTGAATCGACATAAAGGCAAGATAATGTGTTAATTATCATTCATTATTTAGCAACAGAAGCCTTCTGTTTGTCAACCGCACACTGCTACCAAAGCCAAACATTCCAACAAATGCTCTACTTCTCTGAGCCTTTTATCTTCATTTTTCGCATTTTTAATTTTGCAGCTTTCATTTCCAAAGAAGGGCTGTATCCTTATCTTCACTTACCAGAAAAGAGCTTGAGGCAAAAAAGAAGATTTAGAAGATGAAAACTTATACCTATGTTACAACCACGCACAAAAGACTCCATTACATGATAGCTACACCTGTACCTTTTCCTGCTGTTCCAGAATTGTCCCTATAATTTCACTAGAGAAAAATCTCTACAGCAAGTCACATTAAACATAATCAAAGTCAAAAAACCTGCAAATACAGTAAATTTTCTTTAGAAAGAAATGCATTAAGCGAACTAGAGATGGTTGGAATTCTTAAGCCCCCTGCAGCTCTCCATAATTGCTCCCAGATAGACCTACGGCAGTCCATTTTCTTCACCAGAACTAAAAGGCAGTGATGTGGCCTAGTTTAGGCCAACAGTTAACTCTGAGTTAGCATTGCTCAGTTTAGAGGCATGTATCCTGACTACACACTGGGATGAGCCCTCAAAGTTTCCATTGGAAAGAAACCTTCACAGAGCAAGCTTCAGCTGCCCACTGCCAGTGCTCAGAATGCAATGCCCAAGCACTTCTGCTGAGTGATAGGTGTCTGAGTTAGGGCTTCTCCAGCACACAGTAACACTGCACGCTGTTAGCTCATATGGCATTCTATCTTCCAGTTTCTATAATAAATCCAAATAAAAATAGTAACAAATACTATCTGCCATTTCTGCGTGGAAGTAAAAAATACTTTTTAGTAAAAAAGCTAGGAAATAAAATGAAAATTAGGACATCATTATGCTCCAACTTGCTACCATCAGTTTTTTTTTCAGCCTGTGAATCTGCCAGTACTAAGTAAAAAAAAAAAATATTTCCAGTATCAAAATATAAGTAAAATATTATTTATATTTGTTTATTCCTAAAATGATCTAAATCAGCAGGATTGTGTATCATAAATCAAAGCAACTGTGCTATTATTTGAGAATAAATAATTCAAAATGAGTTCCTAGGTCGACTTGTCAGGAGTTAATTTGATCGCAGACTGAGCTAGACTGTGGTGACAGTGGTGCCACTCATTTACAGCTGTGAGTGTCAGCTGTGGCCTGGCAGATGAGTCTAAGATGGAAAAGGATATAGAAATATGCATATAAAAAAGCAATTGCTTTGAAGATCACATTTGAGTCAGACTGAGTTTTAGATAAAGATGGAAGTTTTACCTTTAGAGAAAAATAATTTTGTGTGTGAATGTGTCCTGTTACTGAATGCTTTGTATGTGAAAATATTTACTGATTCCAGGAGAAAGTCAATACAATGAAGTAGAAGGTAAAACTAACCTCCTTGCTATTTCCTTTTCGGCACTGGCCAAGGATACACTGCAATGCAGACAATCAGCTCTTACATAATGGAAGGACAATAAGAGCAATCAATTGATATGGGATTATTTGCCTCCAGTTTTGAGATGTTTGTAGGAAATTAACCTCAGAAGTAGATTTAAAAATCTGAAAGAAGAACTACTCTCAGCAAACAATGCAAACATTTTGACTTCAATATCTGTATGTGGAGTATAACACTACAATAGAAGAATTGATGCAAATAATCATGGTTCCATATGAACCAGAAAACTTGGGTCTCACTGCTTAAGGCCAGACCATCTCAGCAAGAAATAAGTTGTGTTTCTGACAGAACTCATCTTTTTTTACAGGGTGAGTGTGCTGTAAATGGTGTGCCTCATGCAGTGTCAGCCATGCCAAAGAGAAATGCAAGACTAATTCCATCAGCAGACTGTTCGAAATACTCTATCTTACCGGTCGTCCTGAGATCAACTGTTGCTTTGTCATAACGGGTCCCTTCAGGATATCACCAGTCCCTTTGTTCTGACTGTTGGAGCAGTAATGGTCATCTGCTATCGTGATTTGCTCATTTTCTTCAGCTTCCAGTTGGCTCTGGTTGAAACGCAGGGAACCCTTCAGAATATCTTTGATCTGTTGTTGAATGGGAGAGGAAAAACTGCAAGTTAGAAGTCTGGGGGAATTCTGAATTTTTTAAAGCTCCATGCACAGTGCTTTCAAACACTATTTCCCCATAACCATCTCTTTGATGATAGGAAATAAGCCAGCCTTAATATCTATATAGGCTAAAGATGTAAAGATGTAAATATAATTGCAATGTTGTTGTTACAGAGTCTGGAAAACAAATCTAAAAAGAACGAAACTGCTGATGTTTCCACTTATAGATTTAGCATGTCACATCATTCCTGATAAAATGAATTTCCAGGGAGTGGAATATAGTAAAATCAGAGCTTCAGATGCTCATTAGCATTCTCATTTTATATATGTAGCATTTTTTCTTTAGGTTGAATGACACTCAAGTGGCAACTCAATAAAATAATGGGGACATAAATACGATTATTACACAGCATGCACATGTTGCACTAAGAAAAATGCTGAAGTTGGAACTGTGTTGCCTCAGCTCTTTTTCAAGGCCTCTCCAGAACAATTCAGGCAGCAGACACTGTGCAATTTATTTGAACTCCTTATAGCTCAGTTTTGCTTTCTAAATAAAAGTGCTCTGCAATGCTCAATGCATTAGTATTAGTAAAACAGCTATAACAGAAAATAAAACAGCAGTATACAAAGGCAATTAAAAAAGGGGAAAAAAGAGGATTAATAGTGCAGAGGGATACAAGAAGGTTGAGTTAAGCAATCATTATACCTGCTTCAAACCAGCCAAGGAAACCAGAATTTCATCTTCTTTTTCCAAGTGTTCTTGTAATATGACTTCCTGAATATTTCCTGCAACACCAAAACAAAAAAAAAGGTAAAGAGAGAACATTCCCTAAATAACCTCTAATGTGCTGCCAACTTACCACTGATTTACATCCTCATAATGAAACCTTGTGACCTGCAAACACAATTTCAGACAGACCTGGAGGCTGACAACCTTATTAGCTCTAGAAGTGGGGCCAGCAAAACACATCAGTGCTGCCAGGCTCCTGCTGGCTCCTGCACTTTTGCTAGACCTCTACTGCCCCAAGGTACTGAGGGCTCATTGCTTATGGGCTCTAGAATAAAACATTGGCCTCTGTGGCCAATGGAATTACTTCCATCTTTGAGCAGGAGGTCAGCAATTTTCATTTAGATCCCGGCCACTGCAAACACTGGAATACTCTTTTTCTCTATAACACGACTCACAGCCTTTTCAGTCCCTTTCTTTAGATGAAAAACTCAGGGCTGAGCAAAATTCATGAGGCAGAAGGAGATGTGCAATACTGCCATTTCAGAAGACACCTGTCTTCTGTTTCTACAGTGGTCCTCCAAGGAGTATTTCAAGAAGCTGGTATATGGTACATGCCATACACACCAGAGATGGAGCTGCAGTGTTTTTCCCTACACCAGGGAAGTCCTACACAATTCTGACTTGCAGTCCAAACTAGCCTCAAGAACTGTGCAAAATCTTTATCTACGGCAGGTCATTCCCCAGCCTCCTAACTGCTCCTTTCCTCCTCAAGCCTTAAACACCAGTCAATCTTAACAATCCATTTACAATGCGAGATATTATCTTTCAATTGAAAATTAAAGGACACTCTTTTGTGCCACTGGTGCCTTACACACATAGAGCTAAGCCCAAATCCTTCAGTGATGTCCGTCTGGGAACAAAGATTTGCTGCTCATAAATATCTGTAACCCAGGTGCTAAACAACTAGAGCTTTGTACCATTATGTAGACACATTTCATTTGTTTGTTGTTAAAACTGTCTTACAGGTTTAGGGCCCCAATCAGTGAAAGGCCAAAAAAAAGAACACTGACAAGGATAAATATGAAGACACTGACAACTTAGCGTGTGAGGTTTCATGTTAAAAACATTGTGCAATATGGCTTAAGTTTTGTGTTTACAGAAGGAACAGTGAAAGAATGAGATGTGGAGACTGGACTAGATGAGAATGTAAAGGTAGAAATGTGGATTTAAAACTCGCCTATAAATAAGTTCGAAATTGTGTGCAGGCCAGAAATTAGTAGTAGGTATAAATGATGAACAGGAAGGACAATGAAGGGAAAGGATCCAAACCTAAACTATAAATGAACTTGTAGAGAAGCCTATCTGTGAAGAAGAAGGAATAAAAGAGCTGTGGAAGGCAACAGCAGACGAGTTCTGAAAGGCAGTATGATCAAGGTCAAGAGCAATGATGGGGTAGTAGGATGACTCAGCCTTGCATAGAGCGCATCTGAACAACGAGATCCAAGTTTACACTATTTAGCACTTATTATTTATCATACAACAGGCGAAGATTCCAGCAGCAATGAAATCAAACAGTGTAATTGAACAAAGTCTGGCATGAATCTTACACCAGAAAGATATCAAGGCTAGAAATAATGTGAAATTAGATCTTTCCTCAAATAGATAGCATTGCGAATTGAGAGAAAGGATAAAAAAATAACATTGCTTTCTCTTTTAATATCTCTTACACATACTTAGTCCTATCCTTCAACTTGGTAAATAAAATACGTGAACATATACTTATAAAATTATACTTCAGATACTGATTTTCCACTGTTTAATAAACAGTAACAATTTTCTACTTTTAAAAGATTCAGATCTTTAAAAATCAGAAGTCCAAAGTCGAAGTCTTCATAGGCAGGAAAATAATACATAACCACAACCCGAATTCAACCATCTTTTCCATTTCTCAGCATTAGAATATCTGTAGTGACTGATCCCGCACATAAATTACAAACATGCAATTAAGGTATGCATAATGACTAAGCAGATGCACAAGGAAAATAGTTCAAGACAGGCATCAAACCTGCTAAAGATAAACATGGGAGATCTAAAAACAATGGGGAAAATAAAGGAGTGAGAGTAAATGTTGACCTTCCTCATGATGTGGAAATAATCTATTATTATTTCTGTTCTTTACAGATGTTTATAAGTCAGCATTAAAAAAAAAAAAAAAAAAAAAAAAAAAAAAAAAAAACTATAATTGCAGCCAAAATCAGTTTTTACTGTGAAGAAATGTATTGAGATTTTTAAGAATTTATGAATGGAATGATGAATGTCAGCAGTAAAAATCAATACAAATGTTCGTATAATTACATATTTACTTTAGAAAGATTAATACTAGATTTTAGTATTAGTGTCAAAGAAAAAAAGATTGAGAGAAAAGGTTGAAAACACTTCAAAGTTGTCTAATAAAGAATTGTTGCATTTCAAACATTTTCCCTTGAATTTTCAAGTACAAGATGACATATGTTTCGGATAGAGGGCCTATTATTACTATCATTATTATTATTATTACTATCATCATTTTTTAACCAGTTAAAAACATTAGAATATATTTTGGAAGAATGCCCATTGTGAATTTGTTGAAGCACAGTTCTGGACACTCTTCTACTTAGCACAGAAAAAAAGTCCAAATGTGCAAATCACTGTAATCAGCAACTTTTCCCCCTGGTAATAGTAGTGACATAAGATCATAAATCGGAATGTCCTTTTCTACTACAGTGAAAAAGAATGAAGGTTTCCCTGTGGAACTGGCAATGAATTTTTCTTCTTCTGAATATGTCCTTGTACTGCACACAGCTTCCTATTTAATACACTCATCCCTTTTGAATGAATAGCTTATTATTTACCAAATAAGTGCTAAGTATGGAGACCAAATTGATCATTTTCCCTGGATAATCAGTAAAGGAGTATAATATAAAATCTTTAGAGGAAAGAAGCATAAAGGCAATGTGACTCTGCATGAATGAGTGCCTCTTCAGTCACGTTCTCCTCCCTTGCAATCCAGTTTGGTTGAAGCACTCTATGAGTGCCAGGAAGCATGACATTTGTTATTATATTGCTCTTCTCCTCAGAAGTCAGCAACATTACGCACTGTAATGGTGGTCCTCAATCAAGACTCATAAGCTAAGAAATGCTTTTTTATGTAATTCACGAGAATACATTTTGAAAACTTATCAAATCAGAAGATTCATTGCAGTTTGATAGATAACTGACCAGCTAATAACCACTTCCTTAGGGAGATTACACCTTGATATATATTAAAGACAATTGTAACTACAGAGGAATAATATGCAGATGATTGCATTTTTGTCCTTTTCTACAAAATATAGGAAAAGAGAGTATTCAGTGTTAAGGTGGCAAAAGGCTAGCTGAAACAACTGAAGAGTTACGATGAAATAGTTTCCATTTCCTGCTCTTACATTTTACTCAAATTGTAAATAACTTCATATGAAAACTCACTGTAGAAGTACTTCTTTTGAGAAGCAAGATTTCCTCTCCCTAAATTCTAAAATTTAAACTGTATATACACTATAATTTGCTGTACCAAGTTGAAAGGAGGAAGATAATCCACATCAGCCTCTAGCAGTAAAATTAAAGAAGGCTTATGCTCTTTGATGACCGAACTGCTACATATTGCATGATGGTGAGTACAGTAACTGCTGAGCTCCTCATCCAGGGAAAGGGGCTGTTCAAAAGCTATTACATTTACAGACCAAATTTTCTCTTTGAAGGTGGAAAAGCTGGTATGTTTGGCCTAATTATTTTAGGTACTCATTAAGTAAACTAACAGTCACTGAAAAATAAGCATGACTTCAAAACAGATACTAGAAACCTACACAGAGCGGTGCTAAATGAGGACAGATAGTAGCACCGGTGGGAAAACTAGTCTGCTGAATGCATCTGTCTCAGCCATCTCATGGCTATTCGTGTGAAAGACAAATCTGCACCTCTCCATTTCCACCAGGGAGGTGGGAATTACACAGGCCTATAGTCCTGCAGGATCAAGACATAACCTGGACTTAACTTTCTACTGACACAGATCATACGTAGGAGAAGACTACTAAGAAACTGGCAATGACCTTATTACCATCACTCTTAGGTTCTTTCCTTTCTCCTATTCCATTGTCTTTTTGCAGTGCGTTTCTCTCCAAATTTCCAGTTTAACCCCATCTCTTCCCAGGACCTTCTCAGGAAGGTGCCTTCTGCTGAGAGGAGCTAACTACAAAGAGCTGCAAACTACATTATGAATGATACCTTTTTATTAGTAGTACATGATTAGTGATTTGTGAACAACCAATTGTGCTAGAATAATGTTAAGCCTATGTTTTTCATCCTTGATTCAAAGTCTCAATGCAAAAAGGCATTCTCATTGCAAATGTCATCAGCAGTAAGGGAAGAGATGTGTGCCACTTCAGCACTGTTATATTCCTAATGAAAAAACAAAAAACACCCAAATTCACACAGATATCAAAGCCTTCAAAGAAATCTTGTGTTCCAGTTCTTTTTTATCATTTTTGCAATGAAGTATTTCCAAAATTTCCAACATTATACTAGTAATATCAAGACATCTTTTTTCATTACCATTAGAAAGCTTTAAGGATGGACTGACATTTCACTTCTGATAATAATTTTTTCCCTGCTTTTACTGCAAGTACTTTATTTCTACTAGAAGTATTATGGACTTCCGGGAGGAAAATCCGTTCCTTCAAATCTTGTTTAACGTATACATTGTTTTTATGCCAGTGCTAAGGTGTTCAATGACAACAGTGTATACACAGACACTCTGTGATTCCAAAGAGAACACAGAAAAAGCATAGATGTGTGCCTCCCATGACAGGTGTCAGAGCATGCTCTTGATATACAGAAATGATTTTTTTAATAAATTTTGGCCCTGATGGTGGTGAGACCGTGTACTATCCCACACTGCTTACATTCTTGAGCACTGATTGTCTTGAGACAAATGACATCTGCACGTCTCATATGCATCCTTCTTTACCTATGACTACAAATA